GGCACCACAGACTGGGCATTGGCCATAGATCTTTGGCAATATTTCGTGTGGTGACAAAACGCAGCAATTTCTACATTGTTTGCGGTGTGGTATCACCTTTCGAACTTGTAACCGATGTCCCGCGACATATACAGGGACGGGAGTTCTCGGCTGTCAAAAAAGTTAACGAGCCCATTGCCAAGGGTAAGTCTCCGCCCCCGGGCATGGGAAGGACATAAGTGTCCTACTTTGAGGGATTGGGAGATCCTGCGATGTTCCAGCTGTTCAAAAATGGTCATTGCCAATGACTGGAAATTCTGTTGGTCTATGGTAAGGGGCCAGAAAGCCCCCGTCACTACAAGAATTGAGAGAAAGATGTTTTTCAGAATTGATAGGAGTTAGTATTCGATTTCGAAGGAGGAAAGATCATGAGGCTTGGGTAGCATTCTGGACAGTGACCGCATGCGTGTACCGCTCTTGAGAGCGTGAAATGAATATCTCTGACCAACATGACGCAGGAGCGCTTTGGCATACTATGGTCAGAAGTAGGCCAGAAAGAAGAAGTGGTCTTAAAGTAAAGAATTTAGTCATTTTGTGGTTCAAACTGATGCGTTGGAGAGGAGTGCTTGACGTGTCGGTCGTTCCGAAGTAGAATGGGAGGTAACGGACGGAGCTCATCAGGAGATTGACGATGGGTTTAGGAGTAGGACGGAGTTGGTTCGGCCAGGAAATGGGTGGGCGAATTCGAAAATTGCCCGTAACGTAGAGGGAGAAGCCGGAAGCATAGTTCAAAGGATGAGCGGAGTAGTTCAGACCAAATCGAAAGGAGTCAGTCGAAGCCCCAGGTACCTGAGCGGGTGAGGAAACAGCACCAGCAAGAGGATACAGGGCTATTCAGGAGTGTCGAAGAGTGGTCTAAACACAGGCAGGGCAGAAATGGGGTGCGGTATCAAGACAGGGGCCCGGGGGTAGTGGTTTTCATGGACTAGGGCTGCCATGGTTAGTTTATCCTTTGCTTTTTGTTTTTAAGAAAAAAAGAAAGAAGGAAAGAAAATAAAAATAAAAAAACAGAATAAAAAAAGGGGGGAAGGCGGGGAGATAGCTTCCCAGGAGGAATGACCAAGGGGCCGGAAATCCCCTCCGCGCCCAAGAGGATCGACACCGCTAGTAGCGCAGGTGCAGCATGGACCCCGTGCCATACCTACCCTTCATGCCAGTAAAACCAGAATCTGGGATAGCAACCCTCACATCTGCCGAGCTACCTCGGTGGCCAAGAAGAGAGGGCGGCCGATATCCGCCACAAGCATACCTCCTTCAGCCACACCCCGGAATCCGAAAGGTGGCTTCCAGAGATACACCCGTCGCCCAAAGACACCCAAAGCCCTCCGGGATACCGGAGAGGGATCAGGGACATCCCTAGGCAATCCAGATTCACGGAAACTACGCCCACCGCCAAGAAAACCTCAACGGAATGGGATGGACCCCGGTTTGTCTTTCCCCTACCTAGGAACTAGCGCGCCTGTGGGAGAAATCACGAAGGCTAAAAAGAGGAAGGGCAAAAGGGAGGGGTGAGGAGGAGGAGGAGGAATGGAAAAAGGGGAGGATGGGGAGGATGGGATAGGGGAGGGGAGAATGGGGGGTAATTAGGTTCGGTCTGAGGAAGAAGACCGACAGGGCTAATTCCTCAGACCAAGAGCCTCTTCACCACGCCAAGGAGCCCCCCTTGAAGAGGCACCAACATCAAGGAACCTTCCTTGAGGGGTATAGCCTGTAAAGCACTAAGGGAGTCTGAGACAACCATAAATGATGACACAGGCATAGATGTAATGCAGATAAGTGCTGCAAGAATGGCATACAATTCAGCAGTAAAATACTAGCCGAAGATAGTAAATGCCCTTGTAGGACACTGTCCGGAAACACTGCTGCGAATCCTACACCGTCAGAAGACTTAGAGCCATCTGTGTACACTGCAATGGCATGAGAATGAGTGGAAGTGGTCAAGAAAAAGAGAGCAGGAAGCGACCGTAGACAGTTGGGCTTTCGAGCAAGGGAGAGAGAAAGGAAAACAGACTCGAACAGCTGCGAACTTCCCAGGGGGTAGGAAAAGTGAGATGCTACATTGGAACATAGAAAGGTGGTAATGAAGAGAAGACGCACGCGAATGTAGGCGAGAGAGAAGGGACGGGGAAACAGTGGCGGGTCAACAAAATTAAAGAATGTCTATACTATCAGTGACCATTCTATAAATGAAAGGATTGCGGAGATCATGAGAGCGTACATAGTAGCGAAGGCAATGGGCATCACGGCAATTGGATAAGGACGAATTATTATTATAATCAAAAAGAAGCACTAAGCCACAAGAGATAAGGACGAAACTTCGCTTCTGCATAGAGGCCTCTTTTCAAAACAGGGGAAGAGGGAGAGCACCAAGGCATTAAACGTAATCTTGGTGATGAATGGGTAAGCTAGAGGTTAGCGGGGAGAGGCCGCTGAATAGATCTGGTCACCATAATCAAGTTTCGATAAAATGAGGGTGGAATGTAGGCGATTCCCTGTTTATAATAATCATCTTTCCTTCATTCATACACTAAAGGTTTCCAAGTATTTTAGCACTTCATCCCACAGTTTCTATCCAATCTTTTTTTCACCCTTACATTTTTCTCAATTAAATGGTCTGTCATTTATTATTACAATCGGAGGAAAGCGCTTAACCGAGGAATAGAAGGATATACAGCAGCAGCGGGGCAGAAAAATAGTGCTGGAACTATAAACAGCTAAGTGGAGAGAGGATCAGAGGCGAGAGAAAATGGCTGGAAGGAATGCTAAGGGCTGTGTCAAAGTTCGTACAGTAAAGCAGCTACTGACAGTCAAAAAGGGAAGATAAGGCAAGAGTAGTAGGGTGGCGGCGTTGTTGGAGGTAAATCCTGCAAGCTCACTGGTAAACCGGGCACTCTACAAGAAACTGAAGAACCAAAATAGGGACTCCAACAAACCTCACAGACAGGAATAGGGTGCCGTTCCACAAGATACCCATGGGTAAGGCGAGTATGGCCAATGCAGAGATGGGAGAGCACAGTCTTTCGAGTACGGCAACGGTGGCAAGATGATGGCCACAAACCTAAAAGCAGTTTAATAGAGTGCAATTTGTTATGGTGCATGCTTGACCACCATTGTTGCCAACTGCCGCAGAGATGAACGGAAAATAATTTCTGAACGGAATACCCCTATAGGAAACTGGAAGATCATGCATCACTGGCTGCACAGTAGCATCTGCTTGTTCACTGCCCTGCACATTGTGTCCAGGGACCCAACAGAAAACGACGTCATTGTTTTTGCTAACCATGGCACAACCATAATAGAATACGAAGGACTAATGGATGAAGGGAATCAAATTGTTTAATTGCTTGTAAAGCACTGAGGGAATCTGAAATTATCACAAATGTCGAAGGAGACACGTAATACAGAGGAGCGCTATGAGGATGGCATACAACTCAGCAGTAAAAATACTAGCCAAATCTAACAAATGACCTTTGACATCATCATCAGGGAACACTCCTGTGAACCCAACACCATCAGAAGACTTAGAACCATCTGTATAAACAGCAATGGCATGAGCATGCGACTGGAAGTGATCAAGAAAAAGTGAGAAACAGTTGTAGGTAGGAGAGCTTTGGCACACGACAGTAGGGACGAACAGACACGAACCGTCAGAACCTCCCAAGGGAGACGGGAAAAGGCAGATGCTAAATGAACATAAAAGGGAGGCAACTGGAGTGAGTGAAGATGAAGAGAAAACAATTGAAGCAAGCAGGGGCATCAAGCAAGTAATGGGCTTCTACTAACGTCCAAGACCAACCTATACGTAGATGGAACACGAAGGTCATGAAAGCGGACAAAGTAACGAAGGCAATAAGCATCCCGATGATCAGCTAAGGAAGGAACATTTGCCTCAGCATAGAGGCTTTCAACAGAGGATGAACGCAAGGCACCAAGGCATAAACGTAGACCCTGATGATGAAGGGGATCTAACTTAAGAGTTGTAGGAGAAGCTGCAGAATCAACTTGGTCGCCATAATCCAGCTTGGACAAGACTAGGGTGGAATGCAAATGGAAGAGTCCGACGATCTGCTCCCTATGAACGATGCGCAATAATTTTAAGGACATTCAGCCAAACGTGGCAAGCTGCCTTCAAAGAGAAAATGTGAGGTTTCCACATCAACTGGGAATCGAAGAGAAGGCCGAGAAACTTGACCATATCACATTCTGGAATACGTGAGCCACATGGAATATCTGGGACAAGAGGATGTCAAGTGAAGGTAATGAAATGGGTTTCTGTACTAGAAAATTTAAATTTACGAGAAGTGGCCCAATGGGAAACTCAAGTCAATCGCATCCTGAAGGGAGACTGCTAAGGCGACAGTCAGTGCCTGCGTAAGCTACAGCAAAGTCATCCGCATAAAGTGATGATCAAATATGCGATGAAAGAACGAAAGGTAGGTCATTTATAGCCAAAAGAAAAAGGGTAGTGCAAAGGACACAACCTTGTGGGACACCCTCAGCCTGAACAAAGTCTGAGGAAAACGAGACACCAACACTTACGTGAAAATGTCTGTCAGATAAGAAAGCAATAAGGAAAGTTGGTAGATTACCATGGAGGCCAAAAAATGGACCATTTTCACTAATTAGCTTTATTTCTTAACTCCCATAACTCGCTCCATCTTGGTTCTCCACTTCTCCCAAAAGATTTCCTTCCTCCTTACTCCTAATATGTAAGTTTTGCCATTATTTTTTTCTATTTCCTCTTTTACCACTCCACTCTTCTCTTCTCTTCTCTCCTCTCCCGTTTAATTCTTCACTTCTCTTTCAAGCTTTTTTTTTATATCATCCGTCATACCATGCCTTAAAACAAATAGCTGCATAGTATATATAGTATTAATTTTGTATTTCTTGTAAATTATCTAAAAGTGGCAAACCCACTTCTAGTGAAAAAAAAAAAAAAGATGGGGGCAAGAAAACAACAGTTGTCATTAGTAGTTCAAATATTTTTTTTTTTAAATGTGGATGTAAAAGAAAAAAAAAAGACTGGACAAATATAAACATTTTGATCAAGAATGATTATTAATGAAGGAAAGGTTAAGAGATTTTTCAGAAATAATAAATGTGATAAAGAATTTACTGGAACTAACATACATTGTAATATTTTGGTAATTATATGTTGTGTATGCACTGAAGGGTGAAAGATTACTGGAACAAGGAAAAACATTAGAGGTTACTACCAGCAAAATAAATGCCATGTGTATATCAATTTCATTGCAAAAACCTGAAGATCAAGAATTTTATTTTGCTGATAATAGTCATGCACAATAAATAATACAAATGCTGTGTAAGGAACAGGTAACAGTTTTATTTTTAAAATGAGACTATTTACACTGTATACTACAAGTATTGTTTTCCCCAATTTTGTAAAATTAGAATATATATATGGTGATATAAATTTTATCTTAAAATTAAGGAAATAAGGAATGTACTTAGCTGATAAAATTATGCTAAATGGGTAATTGCACAACTTCTTATAAAAAAAATTTTGAATTACTAAATTTAAGCTGCTAAAAATTTATTAATTTTTTTTTTTAATTAGTGTCCATCAGCTAACAAGTAAAAATGGAAATGAAATGACCCCATCTCCATGGAAGCACTGCCATGTGATACATACAGTATCCGTTTTCTTCCAATGAGATTTCTTGTCCCAACGGCATTTCAGCAGATTACTGTAGTTTCAATCTTCAAGTCTATTTCAGTTTTCTTGCAGTCTTTCTACTTTCACTTTTCCACTGTACTGCATTAAAAAAATATTTTGCCTTTCAAATATCTCAACTCCTAAAGAAACAGTTTTGTCTAATACTAGTCAGGGGCTATTTATGGTTATTCCCTTAGTGTTATAGGAATATTTTGGAGGATCCACAGTCTTTACAGTGGAATATGATAGATGAGAAAACTTAGGAAAATTGGATTCTGTACCACTGTCTTCTAACTCGCTTTACTTGAAGTATTTCCCAATAGGAAGGAAATTTTAGCTAAACGTGTGAAACTGTTTGCTTTAACTTACATAATACAGAGAATGTGTGTCACAAAATACTGTACCTTAATTTAAACATCGAACAACTCATTCTCTAAAGCCTATCCAAAAATAGCAAAAGAAAATAATAAACAATAAAACTATCTTAAAGAAGAGAACAAGTTTTTGAACAATGTGACCAAGAGTTTTGAGCAGTCACTCTAAAGCCACAGGATTTTTTTCCATTTATATTTATGATATATACTGTGTGTGTATGTCTGGTATATAAATATATACAGTAAATACATATAGAAAATGTCGTGATTTTTAAGTCAAGCTTGCCGATTTAGCTTATTCAGCAAGCATCATTTTGCCAAATATGTAATGTAAATTAATTGTATAAGCAACTGAAAATCAGTCTGAACAACACAAAAGTAACATATTTCATCGATGTTAAATAGCACCAACATTAAACTAACTTTATATACATTGGGTAGGATTACCATTAAGTATTAGAGAGATTTTAACAAGATAGGTTAGGTTACTAAAGTTAAGTTGGTGCGAAATTTACAATTTGCATACTGTACCATGTTATTCATGTGAATTCTGTATACCTTATCAAGCACAAGAAAAAATAAAGAAAATTTAGCTTGTTTAACTATTTTGGCTAAGAAGCACACATACTGTACCTCCTGGTACAAATTACATTATGTAAATGTTAAACCATTCACACACTGTAAAATACTTTAAAAAGCTTATATTTATCCTTTCAATACAATTTTCATAGTAATAGTTACACCAGTCCTCACTAAAGCATAACTATTAGTATTAAAACAATTACAGTACAACATGCTTCATTCCTATATTAACAAAAATTTTAAGACTTGTTAAAAAAGACAACAACTTAACTGTTGATGCAACACTCACTTTTGTTCCTATTTAACATTTTCAAACCGATAATATATTTATTACTCATTTTATTCATTGTGTTGCCTTGATATATTCTGTACCACAAATAAAATTATGTAGTGGTAGATTTTACAGAAATACTATAATGTCACTTTTTATTATTTATCAATCAGCTCATTTTTCCCAGAAAAGGACACCCCACTCCTTTAAGGTTTTTTCTCCGAAGACAACAATAATAATAAGTATTGCAGTAATCACCCAGTTTACAAGGAAATAAAAAAGCAGCATTGTCTTGCGGAAACAACCACCCTGAAATAAAAGAATTTTTTATGTAAAAATTGTGAAGTATTTATTTAAACATAGTACCTGTCATCCAGGTACAATGATCACTACTTTCTATAATGTGCAATGTCACACATGTAATCACAAAATGAACTTACCCTTAGTACTCAAAGGGTTTTAAAATACTGCCTGAATTTTAAGCATTCCAGTGTTTTTTAGCTTAAAAATAAAGATGTCTAAGCTGTAATAGCTGAACCCTTATGTCCTACCCTGTTACTAGAAAATGAAGGCTAAAATATCACACTCAAAACACTATATGCAGTACACTAAAGCTAGTGGCTCTTGGTGTCAGAAGTGACCTTGCCTTGAACTAAAAATGTAACATTATATATATTTTTAAAATAATGCTAATTACAATTTACTGAGGTACCTCGAGTTACCAACTTAATTCATTCCAGATGGCTGTTTGAGTGCCATTACCGAATGAATGTTCCCATGAGGAATAATGTAAATTAGATTAGTCAGTTTCAGATCCCCAAAAATACACTTATATAATTATTCGAGTTGGGAGCTGTTCGAAACTCGAGGTACCACCGTACTAGAATTTTTTTTTTTATGCAAAAAAAATTTTCAGTTCATCACTGCTAAAGTTAAAACTATTAAGATGAAGATAACCTATGATCAAAAAGGCTGTGTAACTATGTATCAAAAACTGCACATTTGTTTCCAAGTGAATGAAGATACCAGTGTTTGTAGTAACAGTTGGTACATTACCCGCCTCTGCCATCCACTATTCATGCCTAATGTGGAGGTTCCATTTATACCACACAAACCTGAACAAACCTTATTTACACTCGGGTTAGGCCTATAAACACAATCTGTGTCTTAAGGAATTACACAAACTTTCAGACTACTCATACTATTGTCTCTTCTCAGGACAATAATGTGACACCTATTGAGCATGCTGGTACCTCAAGTAAACAAGATGCACAAAACTTGAGAAAAGGAAGCTGCATGTCCTGATGCTTGTCCAGGCCCTACAACTTGTTGCTTGTGCCACTGACAGTCAATACCCTCCTAGATATCTACAGTCAGCTTAACCAAGATCTCTCTTACCTGCCCTGTATGATAATTTTGGGAATGGGACAAAATTTAATTCTAAATCTTACCAAGCTACACTAAGTATTCTTATAAGTGGACTCTAAATTCTGACCAAATAAATGTTTAGTTTCAAAGTACAGTATTATTATCCACATCAGCAATACTTACTGGAGCATCTGTCCTTTTTTCAGTTGGGTGAAGAGGGGTGCGGCTACCATTCATCTCTTTCATGGGGTACACATTGCTTGTACGCTCTGCCTTCGAGTCACTGACACACTGTCCAATCTAGGGAATTAAATCAAATTCATTTGCTTTATTGTAGTTTTTGGAAATAATTTTAAGTACTAATTTTCTAAGACATTGTAATTACAAGAATGATAATTTAACATGATAATGTGCATTTTTTTTACTTCAATGGCTGTCAAGGTAGGGCAACCCTCAACAGAAAACATATTCATAATCATTCATTCAGTCACTGTCTTGCTAGAAGTGTACTGACATCACAATTAGTTTACCTGCCCACAGCAAGATTCCAACCCACTGCTCTCCCCATCTCCAGGAGTCAAATCCAGCTAACTGGTTTTCCTGAATCCCTTAATAAATGCTACTATACTCACACATCCATTAAAAATCAATGTCTCCATTCATTTCCATTTAACACACACATGCCTGCTGGATGCTTGAGCCTCAAACTCTAGCCTCTTTCCCCCATCCAACAGCTCCTTTGACAACCTCTACTACCACCTTTATCAACAGATTTATACTTCCTCTGTCATCTTATCCCTCCCTACATGCCCTATCTCAACCTTCTAAATTATACCCCTGGTAACCCCACATCGCATTTTAATTTCTACGCTCCGAATTCCCTAAACAATATTCACACCACACACTGCTCTCCAACCATGACACCACTTCATCCAGCTACTTCCTTGCTGCAGAATTCAAAACCCATGTCTCTTTCACAAATAAGAAGATTTGTATCACTATACTCTGATACACTTTTTTTTTTTCCTCTCTCTAGACAAACAGATGCCTCAATGCACAACCCACCTTTTTTCTCCTCTCGTGTATTCTATGATTCACCTTTTATAACCCTATCTGCTTATAATGTCCACTCCCAAATAACTAATACATCCACTTCCTTCATACTTCCTCTCTCCAATCAGATAATCTATCATTGCCTTGACTTCTCTGTTACTCTCATCACCTTGTTATTTTCTATATTCACTTTTAATTTCTTTCTTTTACATACATGTACTTCCTAAATTTGGACATATATATGGCACAAAGACAATTTTAAGTAAAAAATACAGTAATTAACTTACTGAAAGGATAAGATGGACAACACAATGGAATGCAATGAAGATAATCAAAATAAATGTTGTCCATTCTGGGCCATTAATCAATGGGAACCCAAAGAAGATTGCCGTGATGCCTAGAATCTGAGCACAATTTCCAACAAACCAATGTAGCCAATTGAATAAATAGCGATTTCTGTGAGTAGGAGCACATCGGCAGAGGGCCATGAATGGCTGGATAAAGCAAAGACCTGCAACAGAAGAATAAGAATGTTATTTCAATATATAATACTCATAGTATACTGGTGTACCAATGCACAATCAATTGATCTGTTACTCATGTAAGACCTGTAATCTATGCATTAAGAATATTTTTCTCAAATGCACCAACTATCTTCTAATCACCTTCACATCTATGTATACAAGAATTACTGGCAACACGAAGCACAACTGTCACATGGTAATTTAGGAACTCCCTGTGTAAAACAAACGACACTTTCCCGAGAGCCTACATATCAGATCTGATGCTCATTTACTAATCTGAATGGTTACTGTTGCATTCATAGGCGAGCACAAAACCTACAGGGGTCCTGCAGCTCCTGGGGAAATGGGAAGTAGTTAGGTTCAATACAAAGAGGAGCAGCACTGGTCCAATTCCATAAACCAAGAGTTCCTCACTGGCATCAAACCACCTCCCTGGAGGAAAACTAATCTGAAGCGATTGGAATCAGTCCTTGGCAATAAGATGACAAGGACATTTTGCTTAACTGCTTCATTCTGTAGTTCAAATGCATACACGTTGAAAATGGTATAAAATACCAACAAACTGATGATTAAGACAAATGTGCATCACTTAATTATCTTTATTGTTGAAATGTTTTGCCTATATAGTAGATTTCTTCAGTCAAATACAAAGGCAGCAGGTGTAGAAGTGATATGAAGATAATGTAATCAGTCCATCAACCTTGGAGAAATGGTATTTGAGGTGGTCAGTCTCTCAGCCTGCAGAAGAGTTCAGCTCCATGGTCTGGAATGATGTGGAGCTGCAGCATCTTCAGCTTCACAATGTTCCAAACCATGAAGCTGAACTCTTCTCCAGGCTGAGGGATTGACCACCTTGAATACTATTTCTCTAAGGCTGATGGACTGATTACATCTTCATTTCACTACTACATCTGCTGCCTTTGTATAGGACTGAAGAAGCCTACTGTGTAAGTAAGACATTTCAACAATAAGGATAATTAACTGATACACATGTGTCTTAATCAAATGCATACATACTGCAATAGTACATGGCAAAGCCTATGAGGGTTTGACATCACACTGGAGAACTTATTATAGTGCTAAGAGTGCCCCTAAGGGTACGTAGGAGAAGGGAGATTATTTTCCTGTAAAAAAATTCCTTAGACAGGGATGTGTGATGTCACCATGGTAGTTTAACATATTTATAGATGGATTTTTTACAAGAAGTCAATGCTAGCATGTTGGGGAGAGTAATAGGATTAAAAGAATCTAATACAAAGTGGAAGTTGTCAAGGTGCTTTTGGGAGATCAAGGAAAGCTGCAAAGGTTGGTAGATGAATTTGGGAGGGCATGTAAAGGAAGGAAATTAAAAGTGAACTTAAGAAAGAGCAAAAAATTTAGCTAATGAAAGATTGGACATCAGACTGGAGGGAAGGAGTATGGAGGAAGTTAACGTGTTCAGATATTTGGAGTGGACTTGCTTGTTAGCAGAAGGGAGACAAAGTGAACCAAAGAACTGATGGGAAAAAATAAAGGTGGGTGGTGCATTGAGGGATCTGTGGAGACAACGTTATCCATGGAAGCAAAACTGAGAAAGGTATGAGAGTATATATTACCAACATTTTTCCAGGAAGGGGTGTTAATGTTGCAGTTTTATAATTATAGAGTAAGCACACCTCTGGCAAGACAGTGATGGAGTGAATGATAGTGAAAGTTTTTCTTTTTTGGGCCACCCTACGTTAGTGGGAATCCTGGAGTACAATGGTCGATGTGTTAATTAAAAAAATAAAATTACATGGATGTAAAGCATGGACTGTGAGTGTTGCGGTGAGGAGGAGGTTGAAGGCAGTGGAGATGTCATGACTGAGGGCAATGTGTGGTGTGAATATTATGCAAAGAATTCACAGTTTGGAGATCAAGTGGTGAGGAGTTACTAAAAGTATTATTCAGTGGGCTGCATGATGGTGGTGGTGGTTTGGACATTTAGATAGGATGGAGAAAAATATGATGGCTTTGAGGGTATATAAATATGTAATGGGGAGAAGGTGGGGTAGGGGTTGTAATGGGGAAAGGTTGGAGGGAGGGGCTAAAGGAGGTTTTGTATGTGATGGGCTTTGACATCCAACAAGCATGTGCAAGCATGTTAGGAGTGGAGAAAAGGGGGTTTTATAATGATGTGCTGTTGGAGTGTGAGCAAGATAACTTTTAAGCATTAGGATTAGTTTGCCTGAAATGCATTGTATATTTGTGGTTTTGTGTCTACCAATGTTTTCTTACATGTAAACTACATTATTTGTACTGCATAAAAAAATAAAAATTGCATTGTACTGAAAACTGTAATAATTTTTTTTTTTTTTTGCCCCAGATTTAGACTTTCTCATTGGAATGTATGCATTAGTTCATTATTAAGGTAAGCAAACCCTGATACTGATCCTTGTTGTATGTATCATTCATTGATGCCAGATCTATGGTGGGGATGCAGCAAGGTGGTGTGTCCAAGGACATGTGATAGTGGGATAGCTGCTAGCCCTATGATGGACAACAGCAGCAACATCAGTTGCCTTACTGGTGGCAACTCAATGGTTCACAGACTATATACCTTATATGCCATCCATTTTTTTTTCTATGGTAACTTATTTTTATGTTTATTAATCAAAATTAATTTACTTCTTCCACACTGAGGTCGACCATCACTAATCCGGCATCATCGGGACCTGTAGAGTGCCGGATTAGTGATTTTGTCAGATTACAGAGCGGCTTAGGTTAGAATACACTTAACCCAATCACTAACCACCACATGCTACCTTTAAAATGCCCTGTAAATCAGTACAAGTTGCTTAACCCTTTTACTGATGCAACATTTGCTTGCAATATTAACCATGACCCGAAACATTTTCTTGATACAGTAGTTGTGACAGGACCCACAGGCATAACACCAAGCACAAAAATCTCCAACATTCCCTGTGTCTGGTTAAACCTATACAAAAATTCAATGTACATATTGAGATGCAAGACTCAACATTACCTGTAGAAATGATACCAATTATAGCATGAGGGTTGTCTTTAGGATCATACCGGGTCCAGCCCTTCAGGTAGTAAACAATAAGAACGAAGCCAGCAACCGTTAGACTCCACGTCAGTGTCATAAAGAAGCGATGGAACTGAAAAAATGCAGTAATGGTACATTAAACATAATACTTTTCAATGACATTTTAAATTACCTAATTCTAAACTATAGGGAGGTATAACATCTTTTAGGAGTGAAGAGCATGACGTGAATGTGGGGGAGGTGCATGAGGCAGCTGGAATTGATGGGATCATGACAGATGTTAAAAGCAGGGTGAGATACAGTGTTGGAGTGGTTGGTATTTTTGTTTAATAAATGTAATGAAAGCCTAGGTAGTAGGTTGGTAGACAGCAATTGCCCAGGGAGGGAAGTACTACCATCCTGCCAAGTGAGTGTGAAACAGAAGCCTGTAATTGTTTTACATGATGGTAGGGTTGCTGGTGTCTTTTTCTCTCTCTCATAAACATGCAAGATTTCAAGTATGTCTTGCAACTTCTACTTACACTTAGGTAACACTGTACATGCATAGACAAGCATATATATACACATGCCCCATTGGGTTTTCTTCTACTTTCTTAATAGTTCTTGTTCTTGTTTATTTCCCCTTATTTCCATGGGAAAGTGGAACAGAATTCTTCCTCCGTGAGCCATGTGTGTCATAAGAGGCGACTAAATGCCGGGAGCAAGGGGCTAGTAACCCCTTCTCCTGTATACATTGCTAAATTTAAAAGGAGAAACTTTTGTTTTTCCTTTTGGCCACCCTGCCTTGGTGGGATATGGCCAGTTTGTTGAAAGAATAAGAAATGTATGAAAGAGGGGAAGGTACCTAGGAATTGGCAGTGTGTGTGTATAATTCCTTTATATAAAGGGAAGAGGCACAAGGGAGATTGCAAAAAATTATAGGGGAATAAGTTTACCGAGAATACCAGGTAAAGTGTATGGTAGGGTTATTACTGGAAGAATTAGAGGGAGGACAGAGAGCAAGATTGCAGATGAGTAAGGAGGCTTTAGAATGAGTAGGGGGTGTGCAGATCAGGTATTTACGTTGAAGCATATATGTGAACAGATAGGGAAGTTTTCATTGCATCTATGGATTTAGAAAAGGCATATGATAGAGTTGTAGGTAGTAGGTTGGTAGACAGCAACCGCCCAGGGAGGTACTACCGTCCTGCCAAGTGAGTGTAAAACGAAAGCCTGTAATTGTTTTACATGATGGTAGGATTGCTGGTGTCTTTTGTCTGTCTCATAAATATGCAAGATTACAGGTAAATCTTGCTACTTCTACTTACACTTAGGTCACACTACACATACATGTACAAGCATATATATACACACCCCTCTGGGTTTTCTTCTATTTTCTTTCTAATTCTTGTTCTTGTTTATTTCCTCTTATCTCCATGGGAAGTGGAACAGAATTCTTCCTCTGTAAGCCATGCGTGTCGTAAGAGGCAACTAAAATGCCGGGAGCAAGGGGCTAGTAATCCCTTCTCCTGTATATATTACTAAATTTAAAAGGAGAAACTTCAGTTTTTTCTTTTGGGCCACCCCACCTCAGTGGGATACGGCTGGTACGTTGAAAGAAAGAAGAAGATATGATAGAGTGGATAGGGGAGCAATGTGGCAGATGTTGCAAGTGTATGGAATAGGTAGTAAGTTACTAAAGGCTGTGAAGAGCTTTTATGAAGATAGTGAGGCTCAGGTTAGGGTGTGTAGGAGAGAGGGAGATTACTTTCCAGTAAAAGTAGAACTTAGACAGGGATGTGAAATGTCACCATGGTTGTTACATATTTTTAGATGGAGTTGTAAAAGTAAATGCTAGGGTATTGGGGAAAGGGGCGAGATTAAATAGCGGAGAATCAAATACAAAATGGGAGTTGACACAGTTACTTTTTGCTGATGTTACTGGGCTTTTAGGAGTTTCTAAAGAAAAGTTGCAAAGGTTAGTGGATGAGTTTGGGAGGGTGTGTAAAGGTAGAAAGCTGGAAGTGAACATAGATAAGAGTAAGGTGATGGGGGTATCAAACGATTTAAATAAAGGAAAATTGGACATCACACTGGAGGGAGGGAGTATGGTAGAAGTGAATGTTTTCAGATATTTGGGAGTTGACTTGTCTGCGGATGGGTTTATGAAGGATGAGGTTCAATGCCTGCACTTTAAAGGATGGGTTTGGGATATTGGAAGTTTGGAGGAAGTTCTAAACTGTCATATCTGAGCAACTCTGCAAAGACAGTGATTATGTATGAGTGATGGTGAAAGTGTTGAATGATTATTAAAGTATTTTTTCTTTCTTTTTGGGTCACTGCCTTGGTGGGAAATGATCAGTGTAAAAAAAAAAATTATTTAAATGTACCTTATCTGGTTGTACAGCCATTCACAACTGTAGACTTACCAAGGAGGGGAAGAAGGAAGAGGTGGTGGTGATAAAATTTACTAAGCTTATGGAGATGCAATGTATAAATATCAAATACTAGTAATGAGCTTAAAAGAATATATACTATATATTTTTTAACATGTCAGCCGTCTCCCACAGAGGCATTGTGGCCCAAAAAAGAAAAAAAAAACTTTCATCATCATTCTACAATTTCACTATCACTCGTACATAATCACTGTCTTTGCAGAGGCACTCATATACGACAGTTTAGATGTCCTCCAAACTGCCAATATCCCAAATTTCTCCTTTAAAGTGGAGGCATTATACTTCCCACCTCCAGGATTCAAGTTCAGAAATTACTACAAACTGTACCTAAACTTTAAAATCAGCTGAACCTCTATATAGAATCCCTCTTACTATGTACTAAGTTCCAGATTAACACTCAAACACAGTAATGAACAAGCACCTTTGCCAATCAAGATTGATGGACTGAACACATCGACTCAAGGTTGAGGGACTGATTACCTCATTCTCCTCCTGTTCAAGTTTCTCCTATGTATGGACTGATGAAGCCACTGTGTGGCGAAACGTTTCCTCAATAAAGATACCCAAGAGTTGCACATGTGTCTAATTTATCAACACGTCAGTTCTCTGAACCATTCATCTACAAACTCACAAATACTCGTGTCTCAACATCCTTGAGTATTAAATCCACCAGAATCAGACATCAAATTCTGTAAAACCATATTTAGACCAACATACTAGCAGTAGATGCTGGTATACCAGTAATTACTAGCATGACAACAGACCACAACATTCCTTTTAAATACTATTAACATTGTTAAACCCTCCAGTGAAAAGCAGAGTATACCTTCAAACAACTTAATGAAGTTTTGATTAAGCTCATCAGACATAAAAGGCTAATTGGGAGAGCAGGGCTAACCATACTCAAAACAAAACACATTAATAAAATAGTGATGAGAAGATATGTACCAGATTTTTTGCTGATACTGATACTGCCCCGTGAAAATAAAATTTATCAATATAAGGCAAAATAGCCCATGGTTCATAAATGGTCTGTGTTTGACTATTATGTAGATTGAGTAAAATCAATTTTAAGACCGGCATGAAATTTTTAACCGAGTGGAGAATGGGTTGTTGCAGTGGTGTACCCTTTGGAAAAGATGAAACGAGAAGATGTATGAATCTGGCAGTGTATAAAAGAAGGATGTAGAGGATATCAAAGAAAGAATGGGAAGGAGGATGTAAAGGAGGCTGTAGGTGGTAGGGGCCATAGTATCCAGAAGGTGTGTGCAAGTGTTTGACTGAGTAATCACACATGATTTTTGAGATCTGACATGCTGTTAGAGTGATGATGATAACATTGATGAAGGGATCCAAGTAAAGTGGTTAGCCATATAAGATTTTGTTTGGATTTTTAACCCAGAGCATTAGCCACCCAGGATAACCCAAGTCAGTGTGTCATCGAGGAGTCTGCCTTATTTCCATTGGGGTCCTTCAATCTCATCCCCCGGAATGCGACCCACACCAGTCGGGTAACACCCAGGTACCTACTTACTTTTTAGGTGACTGGGCACAGCAGGTATAAGGAAACATGCCCAGTGTTTCTACCTGCCTGGGGATCAAACCACAGACATTCAGTGTGAGAGGCAAGAGTGCTGCCTACTAGGCCACCAGCCCGATGGTGAAAAAGCAGATTGTTTGCACTCTGAAGCGTAGGGGGGAAATGAAGTGTGGAGAATAATTTGCAGCATAATGGATATGCCATTGTGCAAGGACAGTTGTGGAGAGATCAAAAATGGGTACACTTTCTCTGGGTTACCTTACCTTCTTGGACACTGGTCAGTGTTAAAATCCTGATAACAGCAAAATTCACAGAATATTCTCTCGACTTTATAATTTCCACCAAATTACATTCTCATCTTAGTTACATTTACTGCCAAAAACATTTGAATACTTACATGAAACCATTGATCAATGGAGCAGCAACGACTCCTGAGCCAGGTTGTTTTATAATAGCGAGCAAAAATTATGCCACAAGAGGCAGCACATATCCAAGCACCAATCATGAAGCATGCATGAAGTGTCTTGAAGAGTTCACTAGACACACCAACAGATGCAAATGTATCCATGGAAACTGTGCCTGATGATACAATGCGGTTATCATGATAACGCAACGTCCCTGAAAAAGATAATAATTTTATGAAATTAGGCATTGCTAACTCATTTGAACATTGCTGTTGCAATTTAACTCTACTTACAAAAAGCTCTGATGGACTATTGCATCAAGGATGGGGGATTCACAGTGTTTACCTATAGCAGCTGGGAAGAGATTAAATTACTCATTTGTTATTGTTGCACCTATAGAATAAGCTCTCTGCTCATAGTGCCCTTCTTGAGTGTTTAATCATTCAAACAATTTCAATATTTATAGTGGTTTTAGCACTACTAAACACATTCCACTGTACAAAAAATTTCCAGGAGCTATTTGGTACTTCATCCTCTGTGTACTACTACTATGGACTTTTCTACATTTTCGTGTTAAGAAATCATATACTGTACGTATTCTTTTCTATCCATCTTTTTAACCCCTGCAACCCCTCCATTCATTTACATTAATAATCAAACTATCTAAAGCACTGTACCATTGTTAAAGCAAATAATTTTAGGCTTGAATAAGAATCTTTCCTCCGTAAGCCATGCGTGTTGTAAAAGTCAACTAAAATGCCGGGAACAATGGGCTAGTAACCCCTTTTCTTGTAAAGATTACTAAAAAGAATAAGAAGAAGAAAATTGTCAAAGTGGGAAGTCTGAATGTGCGTGGATGTTGTGCAGATAAGAAAGAGATGATTGTGGATGTTATGAATGAGAAGAAGCTGGATGTCCTGGCTTTAAGTGAAACAAAGCTGAAGGGGGTGGGAGAGTTTCAGTGGAGAGGAATAAATGGGATTAGGTCAGGGGTTTCAAATAGAGTTAGAGCTAAAGAAGGAGTAGCAATAATGTTGAAGGATAAGCTATGGCAGGAAAAGAGGGACTATAAATGTATTAATTCAAGGATTATGTGGAGTAAAATAAAGATTGGATGTGAAAAGTGTTATAATAAGTGTGTATGCACCTGGAGAAGAGAGAAGTGTAGAGGAGAGAGAGAGATTTTGGGAAATGTTGAGTGAATGCATGGGGAGTTTTGAATCAAGTGTGAGAGTAATGGTGGTTGGGGATTTCAATGCTAAAGTGGGTAAAAATGTTATGGAGGGAGTAGTAGGTAAATTTGGGGTGCCAGGGGTAAATGTAAATGGGGAGCCTTTAATTGAGCTATGTGTAGAAAGAGATTTGGTAATAAGTAATACATATTTTATGAAAAAAAGGATAAATAAATATACAAGGTATGATGTAGCATGTAATGAAAGTAGTTTATTAGATTATGTATTGGTGGATAAAAGGTTGATGGGTAGGCTCCAGGATGTACATGTTTATAGAGGGCAACTGATATATCGGATCATTATTTAGTTGTAGCTACAGTTAGAGTAAGAGGTAGATGGGAAAAGAGGAAGGTGGCAACAACAAGTAACAGGGAGGTGAAAGTGTATAAACTAAGGGAGGAGGAAGTTCGGGTGGGGATATAAGCGACTATTGGCAGAAAGGTGGGCTAGTGCAAATATGAGTAGGGGGGGGGGGGGGGGGGGGAAGAGGGTTGGAATATTTTTTAAAAATGCAGTATTAGAATGTGGGGCAGAAGTTTGGGGTTTTATAGGAGGGTCGGGGGCAGGGAGGAAAGAGGAGTGATTGGTGGAATGATGAAGTAAAGGGTGTGATAAAAGAGAAAAAGGTAGCTTATGAGAGGTTTTACAAAGCGGGAAGTGTTATAAGAGAGCAGAGTATATGGAGAGTAAAAGAAGGTAAAGAGAGTGGTGAGGAGATGCAAAAGGAGAGTAGATGAAAAGAGTGGGAGAGGCACTGTCAAAAAATTTTTAATGAAAATAAGAAAAAATTTTGGAGTGAGTTAAACAAGTTAAGAAAGCCTAGGGAAGTATGGATTTGTCAGTTAAAAAACAGAGTAGGGGAGTTAGTAGATGGGGGTGGAGGTATTAGGTAGATGGCGAGAATATTTTGAGGAACTTTTAAATGTTAAGGAAGAAACAGAGGCAGTAATTTTCATGCACTGGTCAGGGAGGTATACATCTTTTAGGAGTGAAGAAGAGCAGAATGTAAGTGTGGGGGAGGTACGTGAGGCATTACGTAAAATGAAAGGGGGTTTAAAGCAGCTGGAACTGATGGGATATGACAGAAATGTTAAAGCAGGGGGGATATAGTGTTGGAGTGGTTGGTACTTTGTTTTAATAAATGTATGAAAGAGGGAAAAGGTACCTAGGGATTGGCAGAGAGCATGTATAGTCCCTTTATATAAAGGGAAAGGGGACAAAAGAGACTGTAAAAATTATAGAGGAATAAGCTTACTGAGTATACCAGGAAAATTTGTTACGGTAGGGTTATAATTGAAAGAATTAGAGGTAAGACAGAATGTAGGATTGTGGATGAGCAAGGAGGTTTCAGAGTGGGTAGGGGATGTGTAGATCAAGTGTTTACATTGAAGCATATATGTGAACAGTATTTAGATAAAGGTAGGGAAGTTTTTATTGCATTTATGGATTTAGAAAAGGCATATGATAGAGTGGATAGAGGAGCAATGTGGCAGATGTTGCAAGTATATGGAATAGGTGGTAAGTTATTAAATGCTGTAAAGAGTTTTTATGAGGATAGCGAGGCTCAGGTTAGTGTGTGTAGAAGAGAGGGAGACTACTTCCCGGTAAAAGTAGGTCTTAGACAGGGATGTGTAATGTCACCATGGTTGTTTTAATATATTTATAGATGGGGTTGTAAAGGAAGTAAATGCTAGGTGTTCGGGAGAGGGGTGGGATTAAATTTTGGGGAATCAAATTCAAAATGGGAATTGACACAGTTACATTTTGCTGATGATACTGTGCTTATGGGAGATTCTAAAGAAAAATTGCAAAGGTTAGTGGATGAGTTTGGGAATGTGTGTAAAGGTAGAAAGTTGAAAGTGAACATAGAAAAGAGTAAGGTGATGAGGGTGTCAAATGATTTAGATAAAGAAAATTGGATATCAAATTTGGGGAGGAGGGAGTATGGAGAAGTGAATGTTTTCAGATACTTGGGAGTTCACGTGTCGGTGGATGGATTTATGAAGGATGAGGTTAATCATAGAATTGATGAGGGAAAAAAGGTGAGTGGTGCGTGAGGTATATGTGGAGTCAAAAAACGTATCTATGGAGGCAAAGAAGGGAATGTATGAAAGTATAGTAGTACCAACACTTTATATGGGTGTGAAGCTTGGGTGGTAAATGCAGCAGCGAGGAGACGGTTGGAGGCAGTGGAGATGTCCTGTTAAGGGCAATGTGTGGTGTAAATATTATGCAGAAAATTCGGAGTGTGGAAATTAGGAGAAGGTGTGGAGTTAATAAAAGTATTAGTCAGAGGGCAGAAGAGGGGTTGTTGAGGTGGTTTGGTCATTTAGAGAGAATGGATCAAAGTAGAATGACATGGAAAGCATATAAATCTATAGGGGAAGGAAGGCGGGGTAGGGGTGTCCTCGAAAGGGTTGGAGAGAGGGGGTAAAGGAGGTTTTGTGGGTAAGGGGCTTGGACTTCCAGCAAGCGTGCGTGAGCGTGTTAGATAGGAGTGAATGGAGACAAATGGTACTTGGGACCTGACGATCTGTTGGAGTGTGAGCAAGGTAATATTTAGTGAAGGGATTCAGGGAAACCGGTTATTTTCATATAGTCGGACTTGAGTCCTGGAAATGGGAAGTACAATGCCTGCACTTTAAAGGAGGGGTTTGGGATATTGGCAGTTTGGAGGGATATGTTGTGTATCTTTATATGTGTATGCTTCTAGACTGTTGTATTCTGAGCACCTCTGCAAAAACAGTGATAATGTGCGAGTGTGGTGAAAGTGTTGAATGATGATGAAAGTATTTTCTTTTTGGGGATTTTCTTTCTTTTTTGGGTCACCCTGCCTCGGTGGGAGACGGCCGACTTGTTGAAAAAAAAAAAAAAATTAATCAAAACTTACTGGTATCATAAACAAAAAATATCTTGGGAACTAATTTATAACATGCATGAACTATTAATATTATTAGGTCATTTGTAACTCACTAAAATAAAACACTGAACACCATACTAACTTTCTTCAGCAGGACCAGTTGCAAGCATCAAATGGAAGTTATCGGTATCCAGGTCAAACATAATATTTTTTATCTCTGTTTGTGGTTGGCGGACGAATGTGCAGTACAACTCTCCATTAATATGTAGTGTTTTTATATCCCTTATGCCATACTTAGCCTGAAAATTTCATCAAATTTAGCATTGAAGATTATCAGTATGAGGAGTGTTATTAGATGTTGTTTCTCTTCAAGATTCATTACAGTAAATAAAAAATTAACTTTATTGTAATTATAAATCATACAGTACAAGTCACAGAACATTTCTTCTCACTATGAAGAGGGATTATAGAAAACTAGGGTCATTATATATTCAAAGAAAAAAAAAAGATAAGGAGGATAAAGAAAAAAAGTTATAACAAAAGTAAGAGACATGGGAAAAATTATAGGAGGTAATAATTATGGACTAATATTGAAGCTTTTGATGAAACTATCACGCACTTTTTCCACAAAAAACAATGAACTTATTAATTTGGTCAATTACTAATCGCTACTTGCTTGAGCAACGGAACTCCAGGAGCCCAATCCCTGTAGAATGTAGATTATTAACTACTTCTATAACTTTAAACTATTGTCCACAGGAGAAATATAGGGTGCATAAGGAACTTATATAATTTCTGCCCCAAAAAACAAAAAGCATGCACAAAAATAAAAAACACACAAACAAAAAAAAAAACAAAAACAGAGTTGTTCCAAAATATCATAAGTTTCAGTTTCCCATGTGCAGGGTCTAAATGTATTGTTCCAGTCATGGTATTGTGCCTTTTTATTCTTTGTCAATCATCCATATCTTCACTATCTGTTTCACAAGTTAATATGTCTGCCCATCATCCAAGACATGCAAGTACTGTATGAATTTGTAATTACATTTAACAGTTCTAAATACCTTTGGCAAGCCTATGTTCACTTTTCCCATACTTAAATTGTACTTGCTAACTTACATTAGCAAGAAATTCATTGTTATCATCTACATTATAGGCCATGAGTACATCTGCTTTGCCATCCAGTATTCTGCAAGCCATGACACTATCCCTTCCCTGAAAAGAAGAAAGATCTTTTAGATATTATGAAATAAATAAATGGGGAGATGGAAGACCTGGAAGATGGAGAGGATATTCTGAAAAGTTGTTAAATGTTATTAATAAAGAAGATGCTGTGATTTCATGCAATGTGCAGAGAAATCCTATTACATACAAGTGAGGGGAAGCCTGAGGAGCATGTAGGAAGTGTGTGATGTAATGCATAGAATGAAATGTGGTAAAGCAGCTGGGACAGATGGGATTAAGACAAATGTTAAGAGCAGGTGTGGATGTAATGGAGTGGTTGGTGTGTTTGTTCAATATATGCAACAGGAAGGGGAGGTACCAAAGCACTGGTGGAGAGCATATGCATAGTTGTCTTGTTAAAGGGAAAAATAGGACAAGAGAGAATGTAAGAATTATAGGGGGGACAAGACTGTTGAGTATACTATACACTCTGGAGGAGGGGTAGGGATGATGCAGTCTGAGGGTAATGTATGCGATGTCAGCCCACAGAATAAATGATTTTTAATGTTTTCTTTTGTGGGTCACCCTGCCTTGGTAGAAGACTGCCACTGAGGTAAAAATATATATCAAAGTACTTTTTTCTACCTCAATGGCAATCTCCCACAAAAACACAAGTGATTAAAAGAAAAAAGTAAACACATTTACCATCCTTTACTTACTCAATGTTGCTGGAGATGTAACATTCCCCCAATGGAAAGCAGGGGTGCCACGAGTATACAGAGATAGCACAGTAAGTGTCACGGACCCAGCATGTGTGCCTCTCAGCATACATAAGGGGGATTACCAACAGACCCCTGGCTGTCTTCAAGAAGGCACTGGACAGGCACCTAAAGTCAGTACCTGATCAGCCGAGCTGTGGTTTGTACGTCAATTTGCGTGCAGCCAGCAGTAACAGCCTGGTTGATCAGACCCTGATCCACCATGAGGCCTGGTCTTAGACCAGTCCATGGGAGCAGTGACCTCCAAAACCCTATCCAGGTATGCTCCAGGTATCACAATTCAGATTACCCTCAGACTGCAGGCACTGCCCTTCCCACCTCCAAGACTCCAATATGGCAGGCTTCAGTTTCATACTCTCATAGAAGGATATCAATCTCCTCCAAGACAGTTGCTGCTTACCAACCTACTCAAATGGATGATTTCCCAGAATCTGCAATTCTTAAAAATAACCTAAACAGAATATAGTACAGCACATGATGTATGAAAAGTGCAAAGATTTAAAAAATATATGTACATGTACATATTATACTGTGCAATATTTTATTGAAACTACTTTCATAAAGTTTCTAAATAATAAAAATTAACAGTCCTCACCATGTGTTCATCATCAGACAGTCCAGCAGCTACATAACCAGAGCTTATTTTTCCCATGATTTCAAACTTGTAACCACCAGACACTTTAGAATAAGTCACCATCATGTTGCACCTGTGAGGATGAAGGAAAATCTCATTCCCATTAAAAACTGCAAGCAAATGCATATATCACATGTGCACAGTACTCTCAAACAAACTATACTCCAAATAAAAGCCAATCTCATGATCAAAAGTAATATAAGTATTATTTTACATTACTGTTAGAAATTATGAAGATAACATAAATGAAAAATATTAAGATTAAAAACTACCCAAACTTTTCTAGTGAGCTCAAAACTCAAATGGTGAAGCCACTGGTAAACACTACTTACGAAGATGAAAAACATTCACCGTATTTTCCAGCATATAAGGTGCACTTGTTTCCCACAAAAAGTCTTGGAAAATCACCCTCTGCCTTATATGCTCAATGTCAGGGTCAAGGGTAGGCTTTGAAACATTGTCTTATACCTTCTTTCTTTCAACAAACTGGCCATATCCCACTGAAGCAGGGTGGCCCAAAAAGAAAAAAAACAAAAGTTTCTCTTTTTAACATTAATAAGGTATACAGGAGAAGGGGTTATTAGCCCCTCGTTCCTGACATTGCAGTCGCCTCTTATGACACGCATGGCTTACTGAGGAAGAATTCTGTTCCACTTTCCCGTGGAGATAAGAGGAAATAAACAAGAACAAAAACTAGTAAGAAAATAGAAGAAAACCCAGGTGTGTACTCACCTATTTGTGGTTGCAGGGGTTGAGTCCTAGCTCCTGGCCCCGCCTCTTCACCGGTTGCTACTAGGCCCTCTCTCTCCCCACTCCATGAGCTTTATCAAACCTCGTCTTAAAACTGTGTATGGTTCCTGCCTCCACTACGTCATTTTCTAGGCTATTCCACTGCCTTACAACTCTATGACTGAAGAAATACTTCCTACTATCTCTCTGACTCATTTGTGTCTTCAACTTCCAATTGTGGCCTCTTGTTTCTGTGTCCCCTCCCTGGAACATCCTGTCTTTGTCCACCTTGTCTATTCCACGCAGTATTTTATATGTCGTTATCATGTCTCCCCTGACCCTCCTGTCCTCCAGTGTGGTCAGGCCGATTTCCCTTAATCTTTCCTCATAGGACATTCCCCTTAGCTCTGGAACTAACCTTGTCGCAAACCTTTGTACTTTCTCTAGTTTCTTGACGTGCTTTATCAAGTGCGGGTTCCAAACAGGTGCTGCATACTCCAGTATGGGCCTGACATACACGGTGTACAGTGTCTTGAATGATTCCTTACTAAGGTATCGGAATGCTGTTCTCAGGTTTGCCAGGCGCCCATATGCTGCAGCAGTTATCTGATTGATGTGTGCTTCCGGAGACATGCTCGGTGTTATACTCACCCCAAGATCTTTCTCCTTGAGTGAGGTTTGCAGTCTTTGGCCACCTAGCCTATACTCTGTCTGTGGTCTTCTGTGCCCCTCCCCCATCTTCATGACTTTGCATTTGGCAGGATTAAATTCGAGAAGCCATTTGCTGGACCAGGTGTCCAGTCTGTGTGTGTGTATATATATGCTTGTACATGCACGTGTAGTTTCACCTAAGTGTAAGTAGAAGTAGCAAGATGTACCCGAAATCTTGCATGTATACGAGACAGAAAAAAAAAGACACCAGCAATCCTATCATCGTGTAAGACAATTACAGGCTTTTGTTTTGCACTCACTTGTCTTGTAATAAGAAAAATTACAACTCTTCCTATATTTGTCTACATCACTATAGATTCATATACACTATCTCATTCTCTTTCTAACTTTTGTCTCTTGTGTATCTTTTTACACTACAATGTCTCATCTACTCTGTATTGCTTCTGCTATTTATTCTTTACTGAACTGTAACCTTATTTAATCTCTTTTTGCATCGCCTGTTGCACAACTGCTCACTAACTTACCAATTTCTTTTTTTGAGAACTTTTCTCCACAACTAATCCCTAATCTTTTATGTGCACCTCCCTTTTGTCACACCAGCACCTTTTCTGTCTTCCCTGTACATATCTCAAACCCCTCTATCACCTGTACCTCATTCATACCTCAATGTCTTCCATCTGTATTTTAATCCTCTGCAAGTTCTACTTACATATTTCTCATTACATGCAACTAATAAATTAAAGGGTTCATTAATCTATATCAAAATTCATTTTAGTTTTTAATGTGCTCTATTGTACTTACTTGTTTTTTGCTTCACATTCTGAAGGAAAGCCAAAACATCCTTTCTTGAACTCACAGTCATCGTAGATATTCACCAAAGCTCTCTCCAAGCTTTGTGCTTCCTGAAATTTATTCACATGCTTAACCACTATCTGGTAAAGGCTTATTAAGCAATATATTAAATATTACAATAAGTTAGCTCATATTTTACTGCAGTATTTCATTTTTCATGAAGTATTATTTTACTTAGGCAAGACAGTACAATAGTTGAGAATATTATGCAAGAATCAGGCTGCAACATCCTAAGGGATATGATAAATCTCTAGTAAGAAAAAACTGCACATGGCAATACTGGAAAATTATAAAGAAGAACATTTACATAAAAATTTATATCAGAAATTCCATGACCTTAGTTGTTGAACAGTTTAATATCCAATGCTTAAACCTCATAAACTTTAAACCAATAAATATTTGGAGAATTCTAATGCCAAACATTTTACACTTTTGCACTTCAACAAATATTTGTATAAATAACTTATTCTTTAAACATGCATCAAGCTACTATCTTTTCAATATCTGGTATGGAGAAGAAACAGAGCCAAAGCAGTTCATGCACCCACATTATTTAAGGAGAGTAACACAGAAGTAATCATGCACCTCACAAAGCTAAATACACGTACTGTACTTACATGTATAAGAACTGCCTTATATTTCTTGTTTACATAAGCCCATTTGTATCCTAAAATGCTTTATAAAATAACCATCACCCACCGTGTACAATACTGTATTAGAAGCCCAGTTTCAAAATTCAGGTACAGTACCAGCATTTCACCTACCATTCGCCTGCACCACATGCCATTTACCCTAGAGCCAGGAACCATCACCAACACAATGCTGGGAAAACCAAATTACTGCAACAGTTTTATACATAAAATTATTTCCTTTAAATGGCTCATACCCCACCCTCCAATGCTTTTAAAAATCGTCAAATGTTAATTAATCATACAGTATCAGCTTCCAATATGCAAGCTTCAATACTTTTACAAAGCCAGCGAGTACAATGACTACAAAGCCATTGCATTTTTAACTAGACCAGGGGTCCCCAACCATGTGTTTGCAGATGCTGAAGAGCCCTCAATCTTCCAAGTCAAACAATTGGCTAAAAAATACAATGATATCCCTAATATAACATCCATCATAAAGCCATGTGCTAAGTTCCTAATTCTGGACTTACGAGTTTTACTGAAAACAATCTGTTCTGGTTGAAGCCTTGTAATATATACAGATTGAAAAAACTTTCAGAGGATGTTGAAGACAATTATAATTATCTTCTTACCACTGAAATTAGATAAATTTTAGAAGAAATGATCATTCTGTAGATATTAATGGCAAGTTTTGGTTCATGAATTTTGCTCATCTTAGAGCAGCTTATCCCACAACTTCTTTAGCATTCACTGAGACACCAATGCACAGGGTCACTAAACCGTAAGCCAAATGCTGCCCCATGGGAAGATTTAACAGCCTTCCAAATGTATTACAAAAATTATTGCATAAATAGGGGAGCAATATGGCAGATGTTGCAAGTGTATGGAATAGGCAGTAAGTTACTAAATGCTGTAAAGAATTTTTATGAAGATAGTGAGGTTCAGGTTAGGGTGTGTAGGAGAGAGGAGATTACTTCCATGTCAAAGTAGGCCCTAGACAGGGATGTGTTATGTCTCCAGGGTTGCTTAATATATTTATAGATGGGGTTATAAAAGAAATAAATGCTAGGGTGTTGGGGAAAGGGGTGGGATTAAATTATGGGGAATCAAATACAAAATGGGAGTTAACACAGTTACTTTTTCTTGATACTGTGCTGTTGGGAGATTCTGAAGTTGCAAAGGCTAGTGGACGAGTTTAAGATGGTGTGTAAAGATAGAAAGTTTAAAGTGAACATAGATGATGAGGGTATCAAACAATTTAGATAAAGGAAAATTGGATATCACAGTGGAGAGAGGGAGTATGGAAGAAGTGAATGTTTTCAGATGTTTGTGAGTTGACCTGTCAGCAGATGAGTTTATGAAGGATCAGGTTAACCACAGAATTAATGAAGGAAAAAAGAGACGAGTGGTGCTTTGAGGTATCTGTGGAGACAAAAAAAAAAAAAAAAAACCATTATCCATGGAGGCAAAGAAGTGAATGTACAGGAGTATAGTGGTACCAACACTCTTATATGGGTGTGAAGCATGGGTTTTAAATGCTGCAGCAAGGAGGAGGCTGGAGGCAGTGGAGATATCATGTCTGAGGGCAATGTGTGGTGTAAATATTATGCAGAGAAGTCTTTCTTTCTTTCAACACACCGGCCGTATCCCACCGAGGCGGGGTGGCCCAAAAGGAAAAACGAAAGTTTCTCCTTTTACATTTAGTAATATATACAGGAGAAGAGGTTACTAGCCCCTTGCTCCTGGCATTTTAGTCGCCTCTTACAACACGCATGGCTTACGGAGGAAGAATTCTGTTCCACTTCCCCATGGAGATAAGAGGAAATAAACAAGAATAAGAACTAGAAAGAAAATAGAAGAAAACCCAGAGGGGTGTGTATATATGTGCTTGTACATGTATGTGTAGTGTGACCTAAGTGTGAGTAGAAGTAGCAAGACGTACCTGAAATCTTGCATGTTCATGAGACAGAAAAAAGGACACCAGCAATCCTACCATCATGTAAAACAATTACAGGCTTTCGTTTTACACTCACTTGGCAGGACGGTAGTACCTCCCTGGGCGGTTGCTGTCTACCAACCTACTACCTAGGGCAGAGAAGTCATAGTGTGGAAATTAGGAGGTGTGGAGTTACTAAAAGTATTAGTCAGAGGGCTGAACCGAGGTTGTTGAGGTGGTTTGGTCATTTAGAGAGATTGGAACAAAGAAGAATGACTTGGAGAGCATATAAATCTGTAGGGGGAGGAAGGCAGGGCAGGGGATGTCCTAGGAAAGGTTGGAGGGAGGGGTTAAAACAGGTTTTGTGGGTGAGGGGCTTGGACTTACAGTAAGCATGTTCGATAGGAGTGAATGAGACAAATGGTTTTTGGGACCTGACGAGCTGTTGGAGTGTGAGCAGGGTAATATTTTGTGAAGGGATTCAGGAAAGTCAGTTTGCCAGACTTGAGTCCTGGAGGTGGAAAGTACAATGCCTGCACTTTGAAGGAGGGGTTTTGAGATATTGGCTGTCTGAACTGTCATATCTGAGTGCCTCTGCAAAGACAATGATTATGTATGAATGATGGTGCCTAGCCGAGATAAATCCAACACTGATTAAGATGTTTAGGTAGAGAAGGGAGCGGTGGGTGGGGGATTGTGAGAGTGTGAGTGTGAGCGTGTGAGTGTGAGCGTGAGTGTGAGTGAGAGTGCGAGCATGTGAGTGTGAGCGTGAGAGTGTGAGCGTGAGAGTGTGAGCGTGAGAGTGCGAGCGTGTGAGTGCGAGCGAGTGTGAGTGAGAGTGAGTGAGTGAGTGAGTGAGTGAGTGAGTGAGTGAGTGAGTGAGTGAGTGTGTGTGTGTTTGTTTGTTTGCGCGCATATGCGTGCGTGCGTGCTTGTGGTCCCCCCCCCCAAATAAACGGGCGGCAATGCTGAGGAAATTGATCACTAAATGAAGAACAGGTTGTTCAGACATTTAACTAAAACAAGTTTGAGACCAGATTTCTGTGGAAACCTAAAACAATGCTCATAAACGAAGAGCTACCGAAAACTTAAAATATAAACATTATGTGATATGCACATTACAAAGAAATAACTTGCAGAATGTGGAAGAACATTTTGAAATGAATGGAGAGTGATTTTTTTTTAACTCGTCACAGGAGGTTCCTTCATTATCGAAGTAATTACACCTGACCTCCCCTTCTTTGGATGAAATCTGATTGACTCCTATTTCCCCAGGCTTTTCATGGTCTTTAGGGGTTTAGCATAAACTCCCAAGAATGCAATTATTATTATAATCAAAAAGCGCTAAACCTACTAGGGTCATACAGCAATAACGATCAAAATAAAATCTGCCTTGCATTAGTCATTTAAACACCAATAATTTAGAGATTTTTTAACATTCACTATAGAACTAGTATGGCATTTTTTTTTTTTAAATTGCAATACAGTTCACGGTCGTAAAAATAGTTTATTGGGAAAATACTTCAGATAAATACAATAAATGACAAATTTAGAATTAACCAATATTACAACAATGTTTAAAATCTTTCACGAATAACTTATCTTGTATACACAAATACTAGTCGATAATAAATCAGAGGGTAGCCCTAAACCATAGGGTTTGGAGAATGGGGAGTGGGAGGTAGACAGGTTCAACCAAAGAAAAAAGGAGGTTAAGTCCAGTTCCTTGGATCAGGAGCTACTCACTGGCATCTGTACACGTTGCTTGAGGGGTACCAGCCACTGGTACATACACGCTTGGTGCCTGCTGCCTTCTCAAAATCATAGCAGTTCTTCAGAACACACAGGTTGGGGACCCCTATTTACAAACTCATTTAAAAGTCACCCATCTACTAACTCAAAACTTTACTCGTGGATTGTCAATACAATATACCGTTTGCCACATATTAAACAGTATACTGTACAGGGATTGAATACTAGCTTCTACTGTATTTTGTAAAATTTATGAAGAACTCATCCTGCTAAAGAGTACTAACTGGTGAGAGGTCTTGACTAGGTTCACTAGGTGCACGAGAGGTAGTAGGTTCAGTAGTAGTAGTGGTAGTGGAGGGGGACTCGGTAGTCTTTTTGCGCCCCAGAATGCCAAACCTCCGTCGCCCTGTAGTCTTGTCCGATTCTTCTGCAGCACCACTTTTCTCTGCAACATCCTCACCCTCGCTAGTACCCAGTGGACTAGTTCTAGTGCTATCTGTACTAATATTAATATCAGGACTAGCAGTAGTGACAGGTGGAGACTGAGGTGTAGAGAAAGTAGAACTAGAAGTTGGGAAGGGAGCAATAGTTGAGAGGGAAATATTTCTCTCGGGAACTAAACTGGTGTCATTCTCAACTACACCCGAGCTAGGTGCATCAACCACATTGATGACAACGTCACCTGCATTCGTGGCATCAACCGCTTGTGAATCTAAGCTTACAGAAGGTGAAGTAGTGGTAGAGGTAGTAGTGGTGGTGGTAGTAGTAGTAGTAGTTGTAGAGGTGGTGGTAGTGGTGGGAGCTGCGGTGGGGGCTGCGGTAGGGGCTGCAGTAGGGGCTTCCTGGACCACCTCTCTCTTCGTGACGGTGACCTTCTCAGAGGTCACATCTACCCAGAATGTTGTCTTCTCCAGCACAAATGATCCTCTGAAAGGGGTAGAAATCTAATGAACAAATGAATGATAAGAGTTGCATACAAGTGACTCATTAATAAATGTTACCTTCCATGTATACATTTGAATAAATCACAGAAGTTGCACAGAACTAGGCACAGAACACACGTATTTGACAAAGTGTGACCCTTCCCTATTATCGCTGGAATTTATTTCAACATGACTCACCATAATATTTGTGTAAGTGCTAAACCAATAGGAATCATACCAGTACCTGGGAATGACAAGCTCAAAGTAGAGCACAGTTCCAATTCCCAGGCTCTAAAACCCTTCACAGGCATCAAGGCACCATCCTTGAAAGGTATTTATCATACAGAGTTGAAAGTAGCAACGGCTAAATGTACCCAACTTTACTAGAAAAATTCTACTCCCATTTAGATTGTACAAATGTTTCATTTTTATTAGGCATTTAATTCCAGATTAAATGGTAAGTTCAGAGATTACAACTTGATCATAAACATATACTGTACCTTGTGTGATTACTAGCCAGTCATCAAACCGGATGATCTAAATTAATTTTGCCGCGCGCACCCCCTACCCCTTCGCCCCACACAAAGCTATTCAAACGAGCTGTATTTTTTTAAAATTAATATTGTTAGTTGTATATTATCCTATACTACATACAACGTATTTAACTACCCTCTAGCGAAGAGAGCTACCTGAAAATCTTTTGTAAATACATCCATGTATTATTAATACTTAAGCAATCTACATAAATTTTGGCTTTGTGTATGCACAACCAAATATCACCCATCTCTGTACATTGTATCATGCTAAAATAAATTTTTGTCTTGGTTTGTTAATGCAGAAAATAAAATATTTCAAAGTCTGTATAAAAAAGTCTTACAATGCTTAATAAAAAAATACTTTATTTGCTAATGTGTTTTATTTCCGGAGGGAGGAAAACGTTCCGGCAACTATTAAAATGCGATTGTACTTTAGTTCAGTTCTAGTCTCATTGCATTATACACACACACATGCACGGGAATATGTTCACAAATATACATATGCCTTGCCTAGGGCCAGGCTCCGGAAGTAGACACACACTCGAAACTCAGAGGTATAAATGTACAATATACCTGAATGACCTACTACGGGTGATTCGAGTCCAATGTATCACTGTAGAATAAGAACTGGAGAGGATTGTGACATCCCCCAGGAAGAACTCGACAGCTTAGAGATGTGGTCAAACAAGTGACTTCTCAAGTTCAACCTGAATAAAAACAAGGGTAGACTGACAGTACAACAGGGGTGCAGAGAAGCTGCAAATATCAGAACTGCAAAGGACCCCAAGGGTGAACAATACCAGGAATATTACCAGATAAAGGCATAAACCGTATAGCACTAGCAGGATATGAAAGATTGCCAAACTTCAGAATAACATTTAGGAATATTAATAAAGAACAGTTTGTGGCACAATCAACTAGAGGAAGTAACCTGCGTGTGACTTGGTTCTTGTTAACAAGGAATCACTAATTAATAATCTTGAGGTTAATGAAGAGCTTGGGGAAAGCAACCACAAATCACTCAATTTCAATATATTATGTTATTACCTTTCAGAAAAAGAGAAGATCAGGTCAGTTTACTATCAGTGACAAGAAACGTCTACAATCTTCAACATTTATTTCCTCTCAGTTTTTAAGCAGGACTCAAGTAAGTTATGCACGATCAAAGTCACTAGTGACACTGAGAACAGACAGATTAAAACCAAACAAATCACCGGGCTATAAAAGGGTTAAAAAGGAATGTATAAGAACATAAGAAAGAAGGAACACTGCAACAGGCCTATTGGCCTATGCGAGGCAGGTCCAATTCTTCCACCGGCTTAAGGCAATGCCTTAATCTAGTCAGGTTAGCCACATTCATTTAACGGAGGAGCACGGCATCTGACCTAGTAGCACAAGCTAGTCAGGTCCAACTCACACCCACTCAAGCATTTATCCAACCTATTTTTAAAACTACACAACGTCTTAGCTTCTTTGACGGTACTTGGGAGTTTGTTCCAATCATCCACAACTCTATTACCAAACCAATGATTTCCTATATCCTTCCTGAATCTGAATTTTTCCAACTTAAAACCATTGCTGCGAGTCCAGTCTATGCTAGATATTTTTAGAACGCTATTTACATCCCCTTTATTCATTCCTGTTTTCCATGTATACACCTCAATCATATACCCCCTAATTCTACGCCTTTATTAAAAGGAATTGATATAGAAGTCAGGGCGACTCACAGGCAGGCCTCAGGTACACGAGGACACAGCTGGAAGCTAAAACACATGAATCACAGGGGTGTCAGGAAATACTGTAGCCTTAAGAGAGGTCTGGAACTGGAACGACCTAGACAGCGAGGTGTTACAGCAGGATCCACGCATAGGTTAAAGAGTAGGTATGATAGGGCTCACGTAGCCAGGAATGCGTCAACCCAGCAACGTCCAGCGGAGATGCGGGACCTGGATCAAAAGCAATAGTACACACAGTACACAAACGCACATGCATGAAGTTCAGTGCCCTGGATCAATAACTTCTCTTGAGGGATGGCTATCGCCCACAGAATGGGTATAGCATGTATAAAGCTAACTAAACTCAACAGATTTTACTAGAATTAAAAATGTCCTTTTACTGTTCCTAGCAAATGTACCTAACTTGCTACTACATTTCATTTTTGTTCGTATTTTTATCATTTTTATGATGCAATGTTGTTGGATATCAAAGAGCATAAAATACTTCCCTGATTCCTGAAATTCGTCGAACTGCTCAAACTTTTTATATTTCCTGTAACATTTATTAATAAAACATAAGAACATTTGTGGCTTCTCTCCAACCCATTCATACAAAATTTATATAATTTTTAACTTCACTGAGGGGGGAAATACACATTCTCTAACTAATTAGAAGCTTTTTACTACTGTAAATATAACCCGAGACGAAAGCTTATATAAAATGAAAGTAAAAGATACTTACACTTCCGCGTCCTCCTCCCCTCTTTCATCAAAAAATGACGACCTTCAGTGAGCAAAAAGATATTTGCCTTCCTGTCTCGCGCAAGACTAAGCTCAGTCAAGATGCAACCATGAACCAGTCACGTTTATGATAAATTATTACAAGACTGACAAAGTAACATTTTTATGTTACCTACAGTATTATTTGTAGAGCATAATTGTGTGATACGGGAAGTATATATATAATGTATATATATATATATAAATATATATAATGTATATATATATATATATAATATATATATTTTATTATATATATATAATATATATTGTCGTGCCGGAATAGGGAGAACTTGCGATCTTGGCTTAAATAGCAGCGTTCATCTTGCCCTATAGGACAAGTGAAATTGTGTATGCAATAATTTCGTTTAAATCATTCTGAACCCAACGAAAAAATTTATTTCACTGTGTTTGTTTAGTAATTAAATTACTGTAAACAAATCTAAAATATATTTAGTTGGGTTAGGCTAAAATAATTTCTCTTGTTATAAAAAGGTTAGGTAAGTTTTCTAAGATTCTTTTGGTTGCAACATTAAATTTTTTTACATTAATATTAATGAAAAAAAAATATCTTTAAACGTATAAAAGAAAATTTCAAGAAAGGACTTAATTTTAAATGGAGTTCTTGCTAATTGACCAGTTTTTCATATTCGGCCGACAATATATATTTTTATATATATATATTATATATATTTTTATTATATATATATATATATATTAAAATATATATATATTTATATATATTATATATAATAAAATATATATATATATATAATATATATATTTTATATATATATATATATATATATATATATATAATATATATATATATATATATAAAATATATATATATATATATATATATATATATATATATATATATATATATATTATATATATATATATATATATATATATATATAATATATATAAAATATATATATATATATATATATATATATATATATATAAAATATATATATATAAAATATATATATATATATATATTATATATATATATATATATATATATATATATATATAATATAAAATATATATATATATATATATTATATATATATTTTATATATATATATATAAATATAAATATATATATATATATATATATATATATATATATAATATATATATATATATATATATATATATATATATATATATATAAAATATATATATATATATATATATATTAATTTATTTATTTATATATATTACATAATATAGTTAGAGCACTTTAGAATCATTACTAGAGTTTCAATCTTATTGTTTCTCACCTTAACATCTTAATGATACTTGGCACTCCCGTATATAGGGGTGCCAAGTATCATTAAGATGTTAAGGTTGCCAAACAAATTTTCAATGCTTCCCAAGAAATAAGCTTTGATAATTCTATTTACTCATGTTTAAGTCTCACTTATACAAGAGTAAATAAAATTATCAAAGGTCCCAGTTTCTCTACTTCCTGTATTGCGTTTGGCACTAGTACTCAATTTCAATATATTGAAGTTTCAATTTAGTTTTGCCGTTATCACTGTTTACAGTGTATGCTTAGTCATTACTGGTATTATATTACATAAAAGTAATATTAGCAGTAATATTAACATCAACCGCAGGTGTTAATTGTTATATTCAGTTATGTCATTAACATTCGAAAGTGAAAAATATGCATCTTCAGTGTTCCATTACGCTCTATAAAAACAAACCAGAGTGCTTTCACCGAAGATCAATAACCGGCATTACAAGTCACCAATCTGTAATGTTACCCCTCTCACTGCCCCCGCGGCCCAGACCAAACGTGATCGCTCTAGTTATTAGCGGAAGCAGAAGGCAATCCAGCATAGGCATCATTGCCTGGCTGATTAGGAACTAACACGAGAGGTTTACAAAGTCCCTTCTCGAAGACAACTACGGGTATTTTGGTAATATCCATTATGTATTAAGTGCAAAATCTG